TTTGGAACATAGCATGAGACCCATTCGTCCCCTTATAATCCCCAGTCAACTTAAAGGCAGTTGGCACGATAAATCCCCCAAGACGACTAGGATCAATACTCCTGGCAGGATAGAATTCCGCGACCCTGGGCAGGCGCTGCATAGCGGTTTCCCCGAGGAAGGTGCCCTTATAAGGGCCCTATCAAGCCACAACATTACGTCCCAAACGCCCGCCACGCCCGCCCGCCCACAAATGGACGACCGTTCCTGACGCTCGTATTCATTCATTTGCTAAGCAAATTATGAAGCGAAGGGATTGGTATGAAGCGGCCGTGATGCTGCATGCATACATGGGTACACATATGCAGCCGTATCTTCGGTAGCGGTGATTGGTAAGATGCCTACGGGAAACTCGTCCGAAATCGATTTTCAAGTCACTGAGAACGGAGGCTTTTTCTTCGCAGGATTTTGACCGTTTCACTCCGTTCTTTCGCCATTTCCCCACTATACAGCGCCCTACTAGCATTTAGGCTAAGCAGGAAATCATCGTGCCAATTGTCTTCAAATTACCTTTGTGGTCCTGCATGGTTATTAAATGTGTGATGTAAATCCTTTCTGTTAACTTACATTGAGTACTTTACATATTGTACTGCACAAAAATGAAGCCTTCAGGAATTACCTTTCCCTCCTACAGGCATTTTTCACTTGTCACTTTTAATAAATTATTACTAGTATTATTTCATGGGATGACTCCCCCTCCCTCCGCATGTATGAAAGTTGCAACCAACTATTTCCTGGCTGGACGCGTGAGAAGCAGAAGCAGTACATTGAAGTACGCATTACAGCAGTTCCCAGGGAAGTGAACTCAAATTCTGCAGAACATGTAAAGCTGTTTCTCATCGCGCACAACGTTTCTCGGGCGAAAAAGTAAATTATAAGCTAGCTTAGTATAAGCAGTTGTTATAGTTGACTTGCAGCCAATAATTAAGGAAATTAAAAAGAAAATGGATACCGTGAAGGCCAAAAGCCGCAAGCAGTATGTTAACCGACGTCGTTAGCAGTATTATTCTTATTTTCATGTGAATTATTGTTGAGTTTGGAATACACAAAACAAATGTGGCATTCCGTAACCACCTGAGAAGGTCTGTAGTTGCACCTTGTGCGCCACCTTGCCGCTCCGAAATGTGTGGGAAGAACGCTGGCGGCTTGTGATTTAACTCTGACCCCGCCTTCTTCGGTTGGACTTCACTAATCTTGTATGGGTATCCACCAACATTGCGCGGGTGATAGTGTGCTCTATCGCCCACGGTTGTGCGTTTCTTGAGCCAAGCTTCTCTGCGTCTCTACGCACCGTATGCTCATGCAGTGGTGGAGTCACCCAGACTTCAGCTGAGTTGTTTTCAACGGGCTTTTTTTCTTTCTTCACGACCGATAGTTCATTTGTTATCTGAAATTTCGTGTTGAGAGCTAGCATCCGCGAACTTTTCGCGAGCGGAATGTTTTTCTAAGAGGTCCAACCAACCGGTTCCGATTGAAAAAGTATTCGTGTCTTCACTGCATCTATTCTCTTTACTGCTATTCCGTTAACTTGTTGCCCAAATGTTCCTTGATATGAGCCTTTTATCTTCATAGTGCCTTTTATCTTCATACCAGAAGGTTCTCTTGTAAGATAAATAGTTATATGAACCGCTCGCCTCCAAAGATTCTCTCCTATTTTCTTCTCAAGCTCTTCAATCTGACCGTAGGAGTCGTTGACAAGCGGGACATATGCAGAATCAGTATGAGCGTAGCGAATGATTCTCGAAAGACCATGTGAACTTCCATTGATGTGGCCAAGTTCGTACTAAAGATGTTGCATAAGGTGGTAAAAAATTGAGCACAGAAAATATTAATCAAACATTTTTCGGTCTCATTTCGCTTTTTTTAACACACTATAACGCCAGTCTGAGACATTTTAAAGTGTTCACAGTTATGCGATGATGATCGTGGGATGCTTCAGAGAAGTTCGATGAGGGGAACAAGAACTGGCAGATCCTGTCTGTCCCGGAACCGTACGTCTTCAAAAATGCATCCTACTTCAAGGGATCCCTCTTGAGGAGATGACACGGTGCTCATGGCCCGCTGATGGAAATACCTCTCAGTGCTGCGTTCATAGTTTGCGGAAGCGTACACCAGCGACTAATAGCGTCCACCAGCGTACGAGCATCAGGCAGCGACAGCGACAGGAATATAGATATCGATTTAGCGCTGGTGGACGCTGCCAGCGTCTGCCAGCGTCTACCAGCGTCCACCAGCGACCAGCAGTAGACTGCCGGTACAGAGTATGGAGCGATAGGAAAGTACCAGCTGTCTGCTACCCTTCTATCGCCCCATGCTCTACCACTCCCGGACGCTGCTGGTCGCTGGTAGACGCTGGCAGACGCTGGCGACGCTAGATCGACACCTATACTTCCCTAACCGCTGACGCTGGCGGAACCGAAACGCTCATGGGCGCTATTGATCGCTGGTGACGCTGCCGCAAAGTATGAACGCATCCTAAAGGAACGTCTCGCGATTGGTGCGAAGCTGCGCTTAATCCGCCAGCTAGCGGCAGCGGCTACGCCACTGCGGACGCGCAAGGGGGAGTGAAGAGGGCACCCATGCCGTTTCTCTCGTCGGCCCAACCCACATTCTTTGGCCCCTCCCACCGCTCTACCCGGTCGTGAAAATAGGAGACTCGCCGAAGTATAATACGTAGGCAGAGACATTGTTATGACAAAAATCAAGTGGAATTAACGATCATATCGACCACAACACTACCGCCTGGTAATCTCGTCCGCTCACACCTTTTACCTGCCCTCCTGCAGGAGCATTCACTATGAGATGTTATTTGAGGCACTGGCGGGGACTTCTATTGTTTTTTTTCTTCACCACTGACATTCTTGTTATCTTGGCATCCCTGTTTGATCCCCACTACCCGGATAATTTGATCGCGAGCTTTTCTTTCGAGGAGTGAAGTTTTTATTGGATGACCATGGAGGGGTTACAGGGCCTTTGTAGGGCGAAATTCTCTTCGAATATTAGATGCTACGAACAGATCCGCTAAAAAATTCGATGGGATACAAGATAGTTTTTGTTTTATATATTAGAATTCCGCTGGCGAAGGCATA